GCCGCGTGCCGCGCGGCGCCGTAAAGCGCGCGGGGCGGGGCGGGGCGGGCTAGGCCGCGCGGCTGAAAAGCGGCAGGTGGGCGCGCGTGCTACCGTTAGTGACCGTTAGTGACCGTTAGTGATTTGTTGTCTGGCGGCTGGCCATGCTGTACCTGGTGGGTCTGGGCCTGGGCGATGCCAAGGACATCACAGTGAAGGGGCTGGAGGCGGTGCAGGGCTGCCACAGGGTCTACCTGGAGGCCTACACGTCTCTGCTCGCCGTGGGCAAGGAGGCGCTGGTAGGTCCCACAGAGCCCTGCGCTGCCTCCTGGGGCACCTGAGTGGGGCCTCAGGGGCTTCAGTGGGGGGGGAAAAGAAAGACCAAGAAACCCTAAAACTCTCATAGAGAAAGAGCATGTGGCCCTTATGCACTAGATTTTTATAGGATGAGTTTATTTGGGTGAAGGCTGGAATGGAAAGAAGAATTTCCCTCTTAAACTAATGTTCCTATGTCAATAACTGTTTTCAAATCCTAACAAGATACAGGCTAACCTGATGTATTGAAAAACTTGCCTAGAAAGATATCTCATTGGATTAAAAAAATACTCATTTTGGTGCCTTGAACTTCAGTATCTGCTTGAGGCTATATTATGATGTTCACGAGGAATAACAATTTGAGTGCCCTAGGTTTGCATGCCTTGCCATACTGAGCCACCCCAAGACGTCATGCGGTCCATGTCATCTGATCACATAAACTCTGGGTGGAATATGTGGCAAAACTTGACTGAGCAAGATGTTTGAGGTAATCAGTGAGCATGTTTCCAGAGCTAAGTGAAGCTTGACCAGGCATCTCAGGCTGCACTTTGTAAATGCAATTGAAATATGCAAAGAGACCTAATAATTCCTCAGCTGCTGAAGGGATATGCTTGAAGGACAGTCAAAGGTATTTACTTGCATACATTGCATGGTATTTCTTATGGAGAACTGGAGGTGAAGGATTAATATAAACTTCTTTAGATGTGGCTAGTTACAGTGGAATAAAGAAGGAGAAAAAAGCTGGAGAACAAGGTGGTAGTAATAAGTAGTGTTTTATTTGTCTGGTTTGATGGTTGTGCTACAATTAGTTTAAGCAGTTAGCCTGACTTGGGAGTGGGGATGGCTCCCAATGGGATGAGCAGCCAAATTACTGGGCCTGGTGACTGCTGAGGGACCTTCAGCCTGTAGGTGTAACCAGCTGCTAGCAGGAGCAGCTCCAGAACTGATACAGATGGCACCAAGAAAACCACACTGGTGCAATAATACAACTGGCAGTAATTTTCGTCAACCCAAGAGCTGCCTAATGGGAACTTGAGATGTTTTCATGTGTGAGTCAAACAGCAGGGAAAATAATTGAGCTGTCTCTTCTAGTGTGGGTTGTTTGTGTTCCTAAATTGAAATGCAGAGAAATGAAAATGATCCTGACTGTCTTATTTTGGTGTTTCTTTCACCAAATATCACTTTCTAGGAAGAGTTTTATGGAAAAGAATTGATTCTGGCTGATCGGGAAACAGTGGAACAGGAAGCAGATAGCATCTTAAAGGAAGCTGATGTTTGTGATGTTGCTTTCCTTGTGGTTGGTGATCCGTTCGGGTAAGTGAAGCAACATTTTAATTATTGCTCTAGCCTGATGGCTTTTTTGTGTTTAGTATAATGGGGGTGTCCTTCATAACTATAATTCTTTATAAAGAAGGGATAGTTGACTCTTCAGAATGTTTTTATATCATACAAGATATATGTATAATTCTGTACACTTTATCTTGCTTTGGAGTTTGCTTGCCCAGTCATCCCTTACAGACAGGAATGCAGAGCTCTGGGATATATACATTTCTTCTTTAGTAGTGATTTATTATCATTTCGTGCTCAATGCTGGACTTCAGTTTGTTCCAGATTTTGTTTGCTAACAAAAAATTTTGGACTCTGGCATCATCACAAAACACATGTCTCTTGAGAGCATATTCCTACAGTTGTGATTTGTGTTTATAAACTAGCTTTTATTCTCAGGTGTTTAGAATGAATGCTGATTGCTCATTGTGCAGTACTTCTGCTTTGATATATGCTAGTCTTTAAAGTCACCTAGGTCATTATAAATGTCTTAGCTTGGTTTATTAAGCCTCTTGCTTCCATTTTGTTTTCTTGCTGGAAGGTGTGTGTGTGTGTATGTATATATGTGTGTATATATATATATATATATATACATTTTCTATGATCAGGAGCATCTCTTCCAATCTTTTAAGTTGGGCATCCATTAATCAGTAATGTAAAGCAAGAGAGAAGTGTTTTGGTCTCCAGCTAGTGATTAAAGATATATGCTACAGTGTCAGGCACCCAAGAAAAATCTAATCACTGAGCATCCTATTTGTGACAGGAAAAAACATAGAGTTTCTAAGTAATAGGAGTAGCATATGCACATCTATCAAGATGTTTCTGTCCTGGGAGATGCTGCAAGGAAGATGGACAGAAATTGGGCAACTTGAGCAGATCTTAGTATTTCAGTTATGCCTGCAAGTAATCAGAGTATTTGGCTTGAACCTTTAGTAAATCTTAGCTGTCTGTGGTTTAATGGTTAGGGGGAAGCAACTAGCTGTGTCTGTACTGTAGTTCTTGCTGTTTGCTGCAAGTGTTTCACCTGGAGATGTGGTAACAGCTGTAAGTGTGCTAGCAGGAGCCTCATAATTTTAATGTCATGCCAGAAAGCTTCTCTTCATCTAAGCTATGTTAATAGTCATGTTATTACGACCTGTGAAACTTCTTGAATGCTATATCAGTGACAAAAAATATACCAGTATAGTCTAGGGTGCAGAGGGCTAACTCAGTCAGGCTTTTTGTTATTAGCAGAGATCTCTTCTGCTTTTAGCTATAGTCAGTATGGACAGATCTGCTGGGGGGGGGCGCGGTGGGGAAGGGAGCGGAAACGGTTTGGAGCAGATTTCAGCAAATAAAGCCAGCGGATCTCTTGGTCAGATTAGCACAACCTTAAAAGCTCCAGTGCCCCTTGTTCTTTGTGTGTGAGGGAGTAATAGGCATTGGATCTAGCCCTCATGTCTATTAGTGGAAGCATTCTTGAATCACCTTTGCTTGTGGAGGTCAGGAACACTTATGGAAGTGTTTGTTGACATAATAGTACTGTCTTCTACTAGATCTGGGAATCTGTCTTTAGCAGGTTTGTGATTTCTCAAAATCAGATTCCTGTATTCAGTTTCTCCAGTGAAACTGTTGTGTGTGTGTTTTTAATGATTCATCCTTATACCCCTGCCAGCTGCTGCTGTGTTCGTGCTGCTCTGAAACACCTGATTTGCTGAATGGTGCTAGTCAGAAGCACAGGAGGGAAATTCAAGCTAAAGATCAAGGGAACTGAACCTGGCCAGGGTGAAAGCAGTCTTGCCATTGAACTGTTCTGATCAGCATATGCTATTTCTGTCTCTGCTGCCTTCTTTGTTATGGTCGGGAGTGTGTGATACACTTTGGGGAAAGGCATGTGACTGAAGCCATTGTTCAGATGTGATTAATTCACACAAGGCATAGGTGCATTTCCATATTTCACCTGGAGAAATGCAGGTCTTGACATGTATTCAAACTGTTTGCAAGCAAGATAAACACTTGAAAAATGTTGCAATTCAAAGATAAAGCTATCCTGGATTTATGTTTGTGTACCATCTTAAAAGGACTGTAACTCTAATCTTGTTAACTGCAAGTTCAGTAACTCTTGCTCCAGTGGCAGTATTAGATATTTGGAGTATCAGATACCTAGGGACAGTTTGAGCATATTTATAACTTTAGCTAGAATTTAGCTAGAATTGTTCGTAATTGCTTTTGAATAAGCCTGTTCTCTCAACAAATTTAGGCATTGTAATTTGGAGTAATTCTGGCTTAAATGTTTTAAGAGTGGATTTGCTTTAAGAATGGTTTTCCAAGTGCTGCATGCAGCTTGCCTCAAAATGTCCGAATTCCAGCTTACCTGGAGTGCTGCTCCCCTTGCTGGGCTGGAGAAGGGCTCTCAGTGCCCTGCCTAAGGAAGCACTTGGATTCTGCTGAAGTCTGTGCCAAGCGGTGCTGACATTTACCTTTCAACAGATGTCCAGCAGACACCTGCAAGAGATAAAGGACAAATGGAACTTCCCTTTCAAATAATTTCTCATGTTGCTTTAAAGGAACAATTGTTCTAGTGTTGCAGTTTTGAAGACACCAGAAAGCTGCAAGGAACAGTAGCATAGTAATTTTGCTTGTATTTTCTGCTGGGGGAAACAAAATATGGGAGCTTTATTGCAGTTTGTACTTTCTTGTAACAGTAAGTCTAGTTGTTGCTTTTTGACACCTCTGCATTGCCTTTTTTTGTGAAGAATTTGATTTTTACTTTCAAAGTAAAATTATACTCACTGTATATTTTTGACCTTTAACCACAGGGCCACGACGCACAGTGATTTAGTGCTCCGAGCAGTGAAGCTGGGGATTCCATACAGGGTCATTCATAATGCCTCAATAATGAGTGCTGTGGGCTGCTGTGGCTTACAGGTAACTTTTTTGTATAGAACTTTTTTAGCAGCTGTGGAACAGAATTGCTGAGCTTCTTTCCTGAAGCAGTAGGGCATGTTGCAATCTAAAGCTGGAAGACCTGTGGCAATTGTACATTTCTGTTGCCAGAATTTCCTTTTCAGCGTGCTACACGAGTCCCCTTTGATCAGTGCATATGTATAAGAACACTTCTCTGCCCTCTAACTTTATCCCTGCCACGAGATTTTGATGTTTAAAATGCTTTACAGATAAAGCTTTAGCCAGCTTCCATCTACTACTGATGGTCATCTAATAAGTTTATTCTGAAATTATATTATTATCCTGTTGAGAAATATGCTACTCTTGTAATAAATACATATACAGGCCTGTGCATGTGTCCAGTATGGATCATAACTAGTTCCTGGATTCTGCACACAATATGTTCCCTCCTTCCCTTCCTCACTCTTTTGCAGTTTTCACTTTCTGCCTGTCTGCTAAGACAAGGGACTTCCTCTAGCCAATATTTTTTGTGCTTCTTTTGTGGCTAAAGTAGCAAAGACAGGGCATTCAACAAGAAAATCCTTGACTACTTCCTTTTACATGTATAGCTCACTAATCCCCCTACAGGAAAAATGTATCAAGGTATGTATCAGCACTAGTAACAGGTAAATTAGTTACAGCTTCCTCTTCGTGTTCTTAACTGAGCCTTTAGCATAGGGTGTGTTCTTATCTTACCATCACCTGTACCACAGGGAACCTGCACTCTCAGCATTCAAAATTGTTCCCTCTGCCCAGGAACCCTAAAAAAAAGCTGGAGGCTTGCCCAGATGAAAGCGAGTGCAGGCAGGTGAGAGTGCTACAGGCAGGAGCTATGGGCCTGAGCCAGGTGCTGTCATCCTTGGAGGAAGAAAGGTTCCTTCCTAACTTAACAGAAAACACCATCTTTTATGTCAACAAACAAGTGATGCCTTGAAATACACACTGACAAACTCCAGTATTTTATTTCAGTGCTGCTCAGTAACAGAAAATCTGTTGCAATAGGATGAGTGTAATCTTTAGCTTTGATCACACCTGGATGACGTTGCTTGGAAATGCAAGAGCCCTGTTGGTCTGGCAGCTCAGTGTACAGCTAGGCAAGGGACGGAGTTGGCCAAAAGAGCAGAAAACTAACAGGAAGTTATTACAACAAGTCTGTATACATTTTTCATGTACACACGATTTTGGGGATTAGCTAATAGTTCCCTAACCTGTGCTGAGGGGAACAGACCATGAAGGAAACACAATGTTATTCACTCTGGCAATTTCCATCCTGGCTTGGGAGGGGCTCCCTTCTCATAAGTTAATGTTCCTGTTGTAAAAAGCATTTTAGGAAATTGTGATTGTGTTGTGTTACTGGACAGGACTATAACCAGCCATATGATTAACTCTTAATTGCACATTATGAGGGTAAACAGCAAGTGAAGGGTATTGCACTAAAAGCCTAACTAAGATTTATTAAGAATTGTGGCAGAGTCTTTACCTCTATATGTTCTGTGGCTGTCTTTTGCCATCAGTTTGGGTTTGGAGATATTGAGTTTCAAACAGCAAACTTGCTGTCAAGTATAGCAAGGATTCCTCTTCTACTTCACCACAGAAAAGGTTTGGGTTTTTTTCTTGTTTTAATCAGATTGTGATAAAAGCCTTTCTCTTTCTTACTAGAGAAAAACAGGAAACACCTTTCTCTGTCATGTGCGAGCTCTGCAGAAATGTGTGAGCAGCAGCATTTTGGATGGTCAGTTCAGAATATCAGTTGTGACTTGTTTCTTACATTCAAAGAGCATAAATACCCTTATTGACAAGTTACAGGTATTTAGTGAAGAAGGAATCTATCTTCCAAAAGCCTGGAACTTCACACTCTTGCCAGTTTAACATAGCTGAGTCCATGTGGCTCTTTTGAGACTGCACAGGTGAAGATTCCTTTATATAAAGGCTTGAGGCTTTGCTGAAGCCCTTCTTATAGGGGATAATTAATGGTACACTTCAGTTTTCTTCATTAGCTCTAGATCTCTGGGTTTGCAAAACTTGGTATTTTGAACAGTTATATCTATTTTACCACTGCTCAGTTATCCTAAAAGCAAGACATCATCTTAAGTGCAAGGCTGGAGAGATGCCATGGGGGTGGAGACAAAGGGCTGAGATAGAAGGAAAGAGATAGGAAACATGGAAGATCCATAGAGGAACAGGAAAAAGAAGACAGGATTTTTCTGAAGTGAGATGTTTGAAAGCATCTAGATTAGAATATAGTCATTAGATTTAAGCTTCAGTGAAACATACCTGATCAGTTAATTCTGCTAGTTAGGCAAAAGTCTGTCTGTTCTTTGTAGTACCCTAAATGTTAAAAGTCCCTCCTCAACTTGAAAGAAGACTCTTCCTGATTGCACTGTCAAAACCTAATGAGTGGTCTGATCTGTTTCAAGACTAAGTGATGTGTTCTTAATTTGTCTTTAGCAACCAGTTTTCTTTTTGTGCCTTAGATCAAACATCATCCCTGAGTCTTTAGTAGTTGATTAAGCTTTTTCTGTTAAGTAGGTAAGGAAGATGAGGGATGTGATGGTTACTTGCTGTGATCCAAACTGAACAAAAAAAACTGTAGTATTGCAGGAACAGAACCTCTGAGTTCCACCCTGTTGCTGTGCCTTAGCCTTCACAAATACTCTAACCTGAGAAGCCCTTTGCAAAACGTTTTTTATTTATCTAAAATTGTAAAGCATTTTATATCACCACTTGGTTTTCTTGCTGACTGCTCGTTTCTAAGCCTTTTAAAATTCAGTGTTTTTTCTCAAATTAAATGCTAAATCAATACTAGTTGCATTAGTTTACAGTTAGTTTAAATTTATTATACAACTTAATGTCATTTGCTACCAGAGTATGTGACCAGAAACCCCTGTTTAATCAGAATTGGTTTATATCTCTTTAGATAATTGTTTCAGCTTCCTAGCCTAAATGGAGGAGGGGAAGGAATCATGGTCTAGTATTGCTGGGAGGAGGCTGAGGAGGTTACTAAAGGCCAAATAATGTCGCCTTCTGAGGGTAAATCCTCTCCTGTTCTAGCCTGCTCCATGGAATAAGTTTCAGACTTCGACAGTTGGATTGTTCTGCTTCAGGAGTGGCTGTTTCCTATGTACTGGTACTGGGGGCAGCCAAAGCACAGAAGGGGTTCCTGCCTTCACCAGTCTGCTGGCCTGCAGTACCAAGAGGAGATGCAGCCCTGTCTGAACAGAATGTAGAAGCATCCACTTCACATGGAAGTTGTCACTGTGTGCATTCAAAGCCTGTGGTTATAGATAATGAGGCATAAAAGGTTAGGTCAAATTTTGGTTGTTTCATATGACCAATAATCACTAGAAGGAAGCTTGATTGAATCCTGCTACCTCTTTGTTGTTGATCTTTTTACTTCCCAGGTCCCTATCTGGCAAAATCTATAGTAAATAACACAGTAGAGATCATTTAATATGAGATAGATGGGGTGTGAAAGGGTATAAACTGGTTACGGGGGATAAGGGGACAAAGACCTGGCTTGTTAGGTTGAGGATGAATGTTGCAAAGCATCACAGCAGAACTTCTAGCACAAAGCTAAACCCAACATGTCTTAGGTCTGCAGTGCATGGGCATTGGAATTTATGAGGACCCAACCCAGGCTGATACAAGGTGCTATACAGTCTCCAAATTCCACTGGGGAGCTGGCAGAGCAGGAACAGCTTCTTGGTGTGGGTGGGATTTGATCAGGATAGCTGTAGCTTTGTTCTCAGCGTACTCTTGTCCTGTAAGAATAACCTACAGTGTAACTTGTAAACATAATGACAAGACTCTTCATTTTCTTCTCTGGAATGTGCTCATTTCTGAAACTAAGACAAAAGTTAGGTTTTTAATTGAAAAAATGCAGTGTCACCATTGCAGCTGATATAGCAATAAAGCTGAAAAAGATGCTGTAAAAATAAATGCCTGCATTTTGAAATGTTTATTGTTGGTTTGTCTGCAACTGTTGCCCTACTCCCCTTTAATCCTGTCTTGCGTTTTTCTGTCCTGCTTGCTTTAGTACTTTTTAAGAGGGGATGAGGGGTTCTTCCTTTAACTTCCTTATTTAGCTTGATCTCCTTCCTTCTTTTCATGCTCTATATTGGTGTGGTAATTGACCACACCAGTGTTTTAAGTGAGCTTCTCCTGATATGGACAGCTCTAGTTTTGTTTGAGACTTCACTTGCATGCAGGCCTTCTGAGCTGAGATGGTGACAGAGCACTTTTTATCTCATGCTTTATACTGGCCTCACAATTAGTATTGCTCACATAAACAACAAGTAAAGCAACAAATATTAATAGAAAGATTAAAATGCTAATGGAATATTAGTTTTGCACATAGTTTGCACTAATTTTGCATAATTTTTAGTGCAAAATCTGGTGCTGATAGTAAATAAAAGATTCAGTGAATCTGACTGTGGTACTGCTTGCATGAAAAGGATAACTTGCTTAGCAAGTGGCAAAGATTTTTTTGGAGGAATCTCTGATTTGAGCAATGAAAGAACATGAGAGAAACAAAATCAGAACAAGTAGTGTAGGCTATATAGCTGCATATCCAACTTGCTTTTACGATCTGTGTACCTGTAACACTGTTGTCACAGTAGTGCTCTGCCCATTTCTGCATGCCCCTTTGCTATAAGGCAGAGGTAGAAGTTTCTCTCCTTCAGGTTATCAAGGTGCCAAACGAACTGTGATGAAAATCTGAGGTCAGCTTCTGTGCTGAAGGAGGGCTACCTTTGGAGAACTTGCTGCAGAGGCTTTCAGAGGGCAGATAATAAACGAGTTGGGCAGGTTAGTACTGGACAGTTGAGCAGGTACTGATGATCAAAGGAATACTGCTACCTCGATAGTGAGATTAGAAGTTAACTCTTTCACTGACGCTGTGACAACGGAGCAGGAAGAAACTCCTCCTTTCAATAGTTTTTCCTCCAGGTTGCTTACGAAATGGAGAGAGCTCTAACAGCCAAATGGAAGACAAGGTATGTTTTGCCTAACAGCCAAATGGAAGATAGGCAAAACATACCTTGTCTTTGTGTGTGTGTGTGTGTTTTTTGTTTTTTGTTTTTTCCCTAAAACTATAGCCTTTAAATAGTTAATAAGTAACACCAGGAGTATTTGTTGGTTCAACCTATTTTTAGGTTACTGGAAGAACCATAAGGTTGTGAAATATTGTCTGTGTGTTCTTGTCCTTGTGCTAGAATGAAATGTATAAAAGAGGAAATGTTTTCAGTAGTGTTCTAGGACTCTTTGTATAAATGTTATTCCTGTCATCATGAATGGTTAAAATTTGAGCTCTTGATCCTTTGAAAACAAACATGTTTATGCTTTGATTCAGATTCTGTTTGACATTGGTCTTAGTTCTGCTCTGCTCGTGTAAACGAGCTAAAACTACGACCTAATACCACAGTAAAATAAGTTTGTGTAGGGGAATTTCCAGATGGGACAGCTGTCCAACTGCAGGGTTCTCTCCACTGCCAACAGCAGGCATGGTACCTCCTATGATAGCCTTGGAAAAGCAGGTTTTCCTTCTAGGTTTGCAGAGACAACAGGAGGTCAGTTTATATAATCGTCATGTCCCTGCTGTCCTATCATTGCCAACTGGTGAAGAATCTTGCAGCTACAGTACAGGCTGAAGGAAATATTGTAACTGGAGTTCCCTCCAGGTCTTACTAGTCTCTGGCAGAACAGGTAGGCTCAAACAGACAGAATATTGGCAAGCTATAGGATCTATCTTGTTGGGCCTCATTCCAGAGCTCTGTTCACCAAAACTGATGTACACTTCTGCCCTTTCAGTTAGTAACTAAGACTTTGAAGCAAAATTCTGCTTTAGCTTTACATCTTGTGGACTTGTGGGTTTCCATCTCTGGAAATGATTGGCAAGACTACTTCAGATCTGTTCACAGATATTAGGGTATTTACAGATATTTAGGGTATTTACAAATCTGTACAGGCAGTTTGTGAGTCGCTGTGTAAGATGCTTTCCAGTGTAGTGAGTAAGGGCATAACAGCATACCTCTGCTATCAAAAAGAAAGTTGTTTGCTAATTACAGATTTGGTTAAAAGGAGAGAAAGAGAATGCAAATGAATGCACTAGAGCTAACCAGGAGATAGAGAAATGCAGGGCCAGCTTTTTTAAAAAGGAAGCATTATTTTTCGAATACATTGTTTTCATTAAGTGTTTATGAAAGGGCACACGTAAGCTTCTCATAAAGAGTGCTTGCAGCAATATAAAATTTCTTTCCTATCTCAAAATGTTCCAATGTGAGCAACTGCTCAACATATTTAGATTTTGTGGGTTTTTTCCCTTTCTTTTTAATTGTGTGTGTATGTTATTGGATTTGTTTTGTTTTACAGTTGTACAATTTTGGAGAAACTGTTTCTATAGTGTTCTGGACAGACTCATGGAAGCCAGAAAGCTTTTTTGACAAGATCCAGAAGAACAGGCAGAGCGGAATGCACACGCTGTGCCTGCTTGGTAAGCAGCAGCTCCTGAGCTTCTGCCTCAACATCCAGCCATGGCACTAGGAGGCATGAGGTGAAGTGTTTGAGATTAAACAGATCTCAGCTAATGTATCTGTGAAAATACACTGAAGCTTTGGCTTTTAGAGTATGTGTACTCACAATCAGTTCAGCCACTGTTCATGCTGCAGTGGCCAGGAATGTCTTATTCCTCTTCAGAAAATCTGTAAAGAAATTGTGCCACCCTAGGAGTCAAACAAGAGCAAGAAGCCTGTGTTCACTATGCTGCGCAGAATAATTTTAAGCTAGATCTAGCTCAGGGTCTAAATGAGATTTTAGTAGCTTGCAGCTACATTTTATTGACTTAATTGGTTTAAAACTCAATATATTTGATCTCTCGAAGGAGCTAAATCATACCTTTAACTGTACTTCTATTTTGTGGGATAATATTTGATTTCTTAAATTATCTCATCTAATGATGCTTTGGCAAAAGGTGATTGTCAGGAGAGAAGCTTGTGTACTATAGAAATCCTTGCTGATCATCTAGAACAGAAAAGTGGTTCTGGGTGAGCACTGTCTACAGATTTTCCCATGGTTTTGATCTTTCTTTCCTGCCTAACACTGAATTTCCTTTTCAGTGAGTGTACTTGTCTAGGTCGCTTCTTAAAGAATAGTTTGAGTATACAGTGTAAGGCACTTCCATAAATATATCTCTATATCTGCAAGGTGCTAACTCACAGAAAAAAATTAATTTTTTCAGTAAAAAAGTTGATATTTCTGATAACAAAGCAATTTAAATAAGATAGAAGCAATCAGGCTGTGCACCACTAATCTTGCAATTTTTGCGTATTCTTTCAGAAAATCTTTCAGAATTGCCATGGTTTGAGATCTCATCTAAGTGATTTTTTTAGTTAAGCTACCAAATGTGTGTAATTTTGACTTCATATTTTTTTCAGGGATTTAAGTATTTCTTATGGTTGTCTGCTAGCGTATTTGTGGAATGTGCTGCACACTGATATCATTTGGTTGTTTTTCAGAGATTGTGGTCTAGCGGAGTTGTATAAAGTTGCAAATGTGCAGGTTCTTGCCTGGATCTTTCTGTCTCCTCCCCGCCCAGAATTCTCTTTTTTCCCATAACAGAAGGTTGTTCTAAGTTTGACTGGGACAGGAAGGAAGTGCTAATGAAAGTCAGGTTTCTGCATGGCGCTGATGTAATCGCTGTCCGTCAGTCTTACCTTCTGTAACTACAAAGTAATCATAAGAGTAGCCACATCTCCTTAAGCATCCTAGCACTTGGCTATCTATTGATGGTAAATATGCCTGTATATTTATAGCTATTGTAGTATGTTTTTTTAAACTTAGCAATATGTTCTGTTAAGTTGTTCTAAAATATGCATAAAATCATATTTTATTATTAATAAATTAGGCAGGATATAATAGGCTAAGCTTTGGCTGTAATCTGTATTAATTTTCCTGTAATAGCTAAAATATTCCTGTGGAGTTTACAGAATCTGCTAAAACTAAGCTTTATCTACACAGAAAAGTGTAACTGGGAAGTTTGTAGTGATTTTCTGTGTTAATATTACTGTTTCATTCTACAGACATCAAAGTGAAGGAGCAGTCTCTGGAGAATCTAATGAAGTAAGTCATTTTGCAAATGAAAAGCAGCACACTGCAGGCTTAAAAAGGTTCTTTGCCCATGATGTATTACTGAGCTCACCTGCCTTGTCCTCTTGAGCTGCTCAGAAGGCAGAGTCTTCCTTTTAAGTAGAACTTTCCTGTTGATTACGTCAGGACTCATCCTGAAATAGATTAATAGCTGAAACAGTCTGGAATTATTTTCCTTATACTGGCTAGAAATAATATGAAGTGCTGAATACACGTTTGTTGGTCATTTAAGTTCATTTAACTGCATCTGAAAAATAAGCTCTCACCACATCTTAATCCTCTGCCATCTGTATGTTTTGACAAAATACAAAATGTAAATACTTGCTTACAGACATGCTGCAACTCTGGTTTAAATTCACATTCATGAGGCCTGACAGTAACTTTGAGGTTTGTTTGGTTTGGAGCTCCAAAATAAAATATGTTTGAGTCGATCCACAGTTGGCAAAATAACTAAGAAGCATTTCATTTAAGAATATATTTGTAGTCCGTAATCGTCTATCTACTGGATAGGCACTGGGTAGGAAAACACTAGTTGGTCCTTGAATTTGGGTCTAATGCATCTCTCAGTAGCTGCACTAAACCTGCATATGCCTTCTAATAGCTGAATCTGCTTTTAAGACTTAAATGATCTGCCAGATGGAAGTTCTGCTGTTCACAGGTGTCCAGAGAACACAATAGACTTAATCTTTTCTTAAAAAGTCACACTTGTCCAAAAGGTCCAACCTGAGTCCCTGGCCTTCAAATTCAATTTGCTGGGCCAACCTGAAATAGACTAAGAATATTAGAAACAGGAGAATGGGTTATATGTTTAAATTTCTCTAATAATCTTTGACTGTAGGGGAAGGAAGATATATGAGCCACCACGCTACATGAGTGTGAAGCAAGCTGCAGAACAGCTTCTTACCATCATTAAAAACAGGAGGCTCCAAGGAGATGAACCAGGTACTATGACTGTGGTGTTCTATCTACTGCTACCCCTCTGTGCTCACTTACCGATGAGCCTCTGAACACTCTTCCTTTCCTTTTAATCTGAGCAGTCTCTTGATCTGCAGTGGAATTAGGCTGCTTGAAATCCTAATCATGGGATGGATTTGGTAGAGTTCAAGCATCCTTTAGGTCAGTGAACATAAAGGAATGAGCATTAGTGGCTCCTGGAGATATAGTCAAAGTCTGAGTTTTGTAATCCTGTATTGTTTCTGCCCGTCTTAAACTGTGAGCACTTTGTTCTGCTGGAATTGAGAAATGGTGAAGGATCCCGAGCATGTTAGAACAGTTGGGTTTTAACTACCCTGTTTTATTTAGACTTCCCACACTCTGCTCTATGTGAATACCAGCATGAATTTAGATTAACTGCAAGATGCAGGGCTGTGATTTTGACCTTGAATTCTTAATGCTGGTCAAGATCAGACAGTGGAAGATGTTTTAAGACAGGGGTAAATTCTGCTTTTGTTTGTCTATAGCAGTTATGAAGATGATTCCTGATCATGGCTTAATTTTCCCATCTATTCTTCTTTTAAGAGTTTGTTCCTGATATTGTGTTAAGATGAAAAAGAAACAATCCCTGTTTTATCCTTCATGTAAATAAATCAAAAATAGCAGTTGTTTCTAAATGAATACAGTTCCAGAATCCATTTCATATTCTACTTTTAGATCCCTAAAACACAGCTTTCTTTGAGAGCTGGCTTCTATTCTCTAGGCCGCTCTGATTTACTATTTGGAGACTGATGGGAATGCTGTTAATGCTAAAACACTTTATTTTCTTTCCTTTGTAATGTGATTATTACCGATAAATCAAGTTTTTAGTGTCAGTGTGAACTTGGCAGTTGAGAAGGTTTTAGGATCACTTCTTGACTCTCTCCTTTCTTTCAGAAATTACTGAAAACACCATTTGTGTTGGCCTCGCACGTGTGGGTGCTGCGGATCAGAAAATTGCTTCAGGCACCCTGCAGCAGATGTCCACTGTGGAATTGGGTGACCCACTGCATTCCCTGATTGTAACGGGCTCTATGCATCCTCTGGAGTTAGAAATGCTTCAGCTTTTTTCTGTTGATAGCTGTTCCAGCTCTGAAAAGAATGTGTTTGAAAGGACCGTTTAAATAAAAACAGATCATTTAATATTTTTATTGCATCTCAGAGCTTGCTTAAATGCATTTAAATTGTATACTGCTGCAAAAGACAACATTGTAGGAGTATGACCATCTTTATCTACATAATGCAAGATGCACCTGCTGGCAATAGCTTATGACATCTAAAGACTTCTCTAAAAGCCTTTAATCTGCAGGAATACTGTCTGCTCCAGGACACTTCCACCCACATCGGCCTCCAGCTAGTGAGCAGGGTAAGAAAGTGCAAAGACAATGGGAAGAGGAGGTGTAGCAGATGGCTGCCCAGCATCACTTGTGCTATGGTATGTTCATCAGGCCATGCTGCATATCCTGAGGTAAGTGTATTTTAAGAGAAAATGTTCTTTACAGTTCTGAACCAAGAAAAACAAACTCACCCTATGGACATCTGGGGAAGCTGTATGGAATGTCTCATTTGAGAATTTTGCATCTTGTAATAGAACTAGATTTTGTGTGTGTGTGTGTACCATTTATGAAGCACTGGACTCAAAGTGTAGCAGCAATTTTCAGAAGACTGGGATTTTCTCTTCAGAATCACCTGGCAGGTGGTGGTGGCTGCTAATAAAACTAGTACTGAGAAAACAAGAGAACAGACAGGTATGCAGATATGTTTTTAACTGAAAAATTATTGGAAAGAAACTTGATCCCATATTTTTTTCCATTAATATAGGATAATATATAGGCCATATTCAAGTAGAAAGATTACATTAAAATTTTCTAATATTGCACTTGGGACAAGTCATGGCTAAGCTACTAGCAGTATTACAGAACAAAATAATAGATGGTCTTCAGAATTTTGGGAAGCTGCTGGGTGTTACCAGATTTCTTTACAGGTATTTGCACTTCACTGATTGAAGTTAACTCACTGCTAAGAGTAAATTGTGTAGCTGGAAGCAGCTGTAATTGAAAACAAGGTGAGCAGTAAGTTGTATCCTACTGGGAATTATTTTAGCAATTTCTTCATTCACTTTATTTCACATTCTAGCCAAAACATTGCAGCAATTCTTTTAACTCTTGTACAAGACCCTACCCTATGCATGAAAGATTTCAATGCATTTGGCAAGTGAAGTATGCAACCCTTTTTTACACACCATAGCTGCTAAATTACCCACAGGCAGGAACTTTGGTGGCTCACTGAAACAGATGAGCAGATTCACCAGTATTTGGTGAATCTTGAGGGCTTACCTGCCAGAGAACAGAGGCACAGCTGGCGTCTTTGCACATTATAGCAGTCTCTGGCCAACAAAGTCTCAACACAGATGGGCACTACAACAAAGCTGGAACAGGGGAAGAATCCCTAAGGCAATCCCAGAAGGTTGCAGATAGGGATTTGGAGAAAAGGGTAAAGGAGAAATTAAGCAGTGAATATTAGAGGTCAGAGTTTAATACCCCCTGTATTAGGGGTCAGAGAAGTGGGCTTTGAAGTATATTTATGTATAATGTATATCCCTCTCTACTCCCTGAACTACCTTAAAAGGGGTGAGATAATGAGGATCAAGGCAAAGGACATTTTGATAGCTGCTTGAGGAAACAAGTCAGGACTTAATCACTAGAACCATTGCTCTGAACTGGTACTTACATATCTTGGGTACCTTGAAAACCCCTGTGCATTGGTTAGGCTTTGCATTTAATAATGAGTAATTTCCAACTTAATTTGCCTTTTAAAGCATCAAGTTTTCTGTAACTGAAATCTGTGCTTGGGGAGGAGGAAAAAAAAAGAACATGCAATTTGTCAGCTTAGCCTTGGATCAGTAAGTTGTTGTCTTCCATCCCAAGAAAACAATACAGAGCAGTAATTCCATGGTAGGGAATCTTCAGCTACATAAAAACATTAAAGTGTATTTGGAAAACTTGGTTCAAAATGTGGTACCAGCACAATGAGTTTTGGCTGATTATCTCCAGACATTCATCTAGCACTGGATGTTAGTCATTCTTACAAATCTATGTTATTGTCTTAAAAGAGGTAGACTTCTCAGTTAACATGCTAAGGACCAAGTGTTTTATAATAAGCAAAGTATTACATAATTAGCAAACCAGTCTTCAGGATATGGAAGGTTTCACTTGCAATTGCCTGATTTTTAGACTCCTAAAAGCAAAGCAGGTAGGTGAAGAAAAAATCAGGTGGCCTCTGCTTATTGATATTCTAGATATGATTATATTAAGTGGATATATCTACTGCCATTTGTAGACTCTATTGACAATCAACTTTGGAAAAAATGTATTTCTGAAAAAACATATTTATGTACTGCCTTTTTCTCTAGAAAACATTTCAGAAGCTGATGTTTCCTTATGCCTGTGCTAGTTCACTATGTAATTTCTTACATTTCACTTGAACTCCTATTACTGCTTCACTGATTGTGAGGAAAATGAACATACAAAATCATTATGGCTAGATATGACTTCTGCTTATATGTATTTGTATTTACATATATTTTACTGAGATCTGCTGTACATTTCTGAAAACTGTTTCAGAGTGAATGAAGTTTCTTAACTGAATGCCATCTCAAATTTAAACAGCAACTTTTGCAAATGCAGAGGCTGTCCATGAATTTTTCCATAAGCATTTTTTCCATTAGCAATTCTGATTATTAGCAGGAATACTAATACACTATATTTCTGTAAATATCTTTCAAGAGTTCCAGTGTACCCCAGGAAAATTTTTCCTCTGCTCAGGGTGATAATTGCAGTGTGAAACAGTTCTCCTTTTACGTGTGCACCAAAATGCCAAATCAAAGTGCTATCTCCCTTTGTACAATCTAAGGAATGTACTGGCCAAACATTGTGAGCCAGCCTCACATCACACAGCTGAGGCTCAGCTGGCATTTAGATCTTGAGGGGGGGAAAAAAGGGCCCAAGGATAAGAGCTCATCCTCTGAGCACTGTGGCAGAGCAGGGAAGGAGCAGTTCACTGCATCAGAATTTCAGTGGAGTCTTGCAAAAGTGGATTGACACTAGAAAGAAATAAGGAAATTAGCTGCCATCGTATTTAAGACCTGCAGAATAAGCAGTAACACACTATTCCTTCATGTGCTTGAATTTTTCTTTAGTTGTTTGACTAGAAATGGATAAAGTTGCCATGAAAATCTGCTAGAGAAAATAAAAAGATTGACAAGATTGCTACGTTGCTTTAGTAAAGACGAGAATGCTGCTTCCCCCACGTCTCTCAGAGGTACCAGTGCAGTCACGGGCTGACAGTGCAATTAGTGGGTTTCAATGGGGTTTAAGTGTCTCAAATCTTACGTGATGAAGCAGCTGGTGAATACAGCTCAGGAGCAATCAAACAACCATGAAAATATGCAAGTAAAACAGTTTTTGCTTTTGTGTCTGGCTTACAGCATATTTTTCTTATGAGTTAAGATAATAATGGGGAGATCATAAAACAAAATTAGTATGGATCAGTCCAGCTCTAACAAAGTTATTTTGTCAGACAGACAGCTTAGCATATTCTTGAAGTGAACTAAGTGTAGGGCTTTATCCAAGCTCAAGCATTAAACATCTGGAAACAACTAGAGGTTCCCTCCTGGCTGCATGGCCTTGTTTAATCAGCAAACTCAAAAGGACTTTCATAACACTACTTAAAGAAAAAAGGGAGATCACAGTAGGGCTGTGCTCTGAAGCTAATATTAAAAAATTGTCCTTTTAAGTATTTAAGATATTATGTTTTGTTCAGTACAGCATCTTATAATTTTCAGGTGGATGCCAAAAATCTATAACCCAATGCTGAAAGTTAAGCAGTCTAGCTTCAAGTACAGATTGTGTGTTCCCCAGCAAAACTGAGGCTAAACTTCAGCACCTGCAAACTGAATTTCACTCTCTAATATGGGTGTCACAGCTAGAGTACCTGTGCAGTGAATTAAACGAAGTCCCCTGTGTCACAAACATTGCATTAAAGGAAGCCAGAGATGCAGATAATCCCTTGCTTCACTGATTTTGGTTTCACTAACAATGAAAGTGCAGGCTTGATTTTAATGAGAGCCTTGAAAAACCAAACAAGCTCAGGATTTAAACTAAACAACATCTTTGAAGAGTGACACTATCCCAGGGACCTACATTGCATTAAAGGAAGCCAGAGATGCAGATAATCCCTTGCTTCACTGATTTCAGTTTCACTAACAATGAAAGTGCAGGCTTGATTTTAATGAGAGCCTTGAAAAACCAAACAAGCTCAGGATTTAAACTAAACAACATCTTTGAAGAGTGACACTATCCCAGGGACCTAAAAAAAAAATATATATATATATATCCATCTGAAGTCGAGTATATGCAAACATGCTGCATTTTTTTTTTCCAGGAACAGGGCAAATGGAGAATATAAGAATTTCTGTTGAAAAATGCCACTAACTGGGGAAGGTTATCCATGAAGAAAGTCTGACCAAAACACTCCTGATAATACGTGTTAGAGTATTTATGTTATATGATAAAATTAACACGTATTATCTGAGCTAATGGAAATGAACCAGCAAATGGAAGAGGTAGACAGAACCAACAAACTTCCCTTTATTTTACTTTTCAAGTACAAAAAGGCTATTAAGGAAAATAAGTAACACAGATTTCTCACTGGGTGTTTTACATGGATAACTACTCCGTAAGTTTTGCTATTACAGCAGGTAAGTTTTCAGCTCGTTCCAATCACTGAAACCTGCTGTATCACAGTATTACATGGGGCAATGGGATTTGAAAGAGGTACTAACCCCCAGAAGAGTAAAGGGTGTTAACATATCCTCTACAAAAAGATTATAATAAAAATGCCTGGGGTGTAAAAGGAGTTAGCAGCAAGAAAGCCATTTTCACATATGTTGTTAGGATATGCAGGTATTGGAACAGGTGAAAATTCACTGACATGAACCTGAGGAATCCAGTTTGCAGCTACGAAGTGTGGCTTGACCAACAACCCAAGCTGTGCTGCATGTTTGAAAGGAGCAGAATGACAACCACCTTGTATCACATTCGGGTGACAGGCTCATACCCACTGCAGGT